TAATAAGAGAAAAACCCAAACAGCACACCGTGACAGTTTCCTTTCTCCTTAAAGGACTGTTTGTTTTTTAGCAAGACATGGCTCCTCCATCTAAAATTAGTTTTTCCCCTCTTTCAGGCTGTTGGGCTTGGTGTCCGGTTTATCAAGTTGGGGGGTCTTTCCCGTGGTGAACGGGTGACTAAATACAACCGCCTTCTCACTATAGAGGAAGAACTTGTCCAGAATGGAACACTGGGTATGCGCTTTCTTGCTTTGTTTTCACTTAGCCATGAATAAGAGAACAAAGACTGGAAGAGGGGGAATAGAAGTCCCTCTGCAGGAGGCCAGGGGAATCCAAAGACCATAAATAAGTGCTGACAAAACTAGGATGGCACTTGCCACAATGTATATTGTTGTCTTAATGGATTATCTATTTACCTGAATGTTTAAAACTCTCTCCCTTTTTCTTGATGAATAGGCTTCATGATGCTCTTCAATAGAATTAATTGATTGGAATTTCCAAGCCTACCTTTTGTTATGGTCCAAATTATACTTAAGGTTTCTCTGCACAGCCCATGGAAGTTAAAGACAGATGCTTTCCTGAAGGTTCCTGGAAACTAATCATTTTACTTAAAAACAAGTAGGCAGTGTGTTAATTTTAACATACCTTGGAAAGGCTAAGGTTTCAAGAGAAATCAATCAACCATTTAATGAAATCAAACCTTTGTATATCTGCATGGTTTGAAGCACCTTGTATACTGGGTAACTGGAGAGAAACACAGCAAATATGCATTTTTATTTTCTAATATTACTGATTGTGATGGCCAAAAGGAGGCACATAGCATGCAGTGACGTTTAAAGAGACTGATAGAAACTGTGATTGTAAACTTGTCACGTTTAACGTGCATCCTAGGATTCACAGAAAATAAAGATATAACTGGGAGACTATTTCTGAGTCATGAAAGGGCAGTCAAAAGTTAGTCTGTATTGTTTAGTGTGTAGTAGAAGGGCTAGTTTTTTCAAATAGGTAAAATTATACCGTTCCACATACCTGATTATTCTCCATGGCATCCTGACTTGTGGAGGCCTTAGCTTCCTTGCATGACTGATCCCAGTTCCGGCCAGACATTTTACCATGAGGGAAACAGCTGCTTCAGGGCTCTGGTGACCGGAGGCCCCGCCCCTCTCTGGGGACAGTGCAGCCACCTCAATATTCCACAATGGATTAACAGATTAAGGAGAACTTCTCTGACACTGGCCTTGGTGAATCGCTATTAAAGGGACCAAAAACTGGTAAAAACAAATCTCTCCACTCCCACTTTTGAGTAGGAAATCTTGGCAAAATCTCCACCATTAAAATGCTATCAATACTTACATGTAAGGACCTGACTGGAATAGTCCTTGCCTGTCATCCTTTCCCTCAGAGCAGTCAGCTGGCAGTGGCTTGTACCATCTATAATACTGGCCTTTTCCCCAGTTCATTATCTTCCACTTAACCCTTTCCATAAGCCTCTGCTGAAAGTCCATGATGCATCAGCAAACGTTCCAGTATGTTGAATGACAGTGCAAATAAAATCGAACAGAACAACTGTAGGGCACAATTAACATATAACCAAAGATAGGCCCGATTGTAAATGGTTCTGGAATCCTTTGGGATGGTGATGTGACACCTTTGGACTAGTACTGAAGATGATCTCCTTCAACTCATGTAATACATAAAAACTGGTACCATTGGATTAGACAGTAAACTTTATTAACTTTTTTTTAAAAAAAAAAAACAGGTTTCAATGAAGAACACACTTTTTTCTACTTTAATGAGGAAGCTGAAATGGCGGCGGAGGCACTTGAGGCTGCTGCGGCTGGAGAGCTGCTGGAGCCCACCTTTCTCACACAAAGTGTGGAGGAATCAGCCAAAACAAGAGCATCCTCCGGATAGGGCTGCACACACCCCAGGTTTCAGCCACACCATCAGTATTCACAGACTGGGAGGTCTGAAGTACAGCACCGTGTCTCCACATCGAGTTTCCTCTTAAACTTCACCAACTCCTATGGTTTTGATTCTTTTAATTCCACTGCTTGGTAAAATACATATATGGTGTTTTTGCCTGAGATTATATCTGTGAACTTTGTTTGACAGCCATCACACTTCCATAGACTTTGTCTATTAGCTCTCCTGTCCATTTTTCAGGGGCACGCTCCAGTTAAAGAGGCCAATATTTTTGTTGCCAACCCCACACTCAAACATCTCATCCTTTACCAGTCAGAACATTTCTGAGAACAAAAACCTAATGACCCTAGAAGCTGTCTGTGCTGGGAACAGATGTCCATCTTCTGTGTTTAATCTACATATCTGTGCTGAAAAGCATTGACACCTTTTTATAGCCAGCCTCATGCAGAAGTTAAGTGTGAGAGCATCATTCTTTTTTGTAACAGCCAAATAGTTTTATCTCTTTCCTACCCTTAATTCCCTTTTCCCTAATTCCCTCTTCTTTTTAAATTTTAGTTTTTCTTGTATTATTTTATCTTTGTGGGCCTTCTTAGGTCCTTTTTGGAATGAGTATAAATGAATAAGCACATCAGCAAATGAATAAATATTCTCAAGATTATTAAATGCCCAGTTATTTATTCTACAGCATTTAAAAAGCAATTCACAAGCGATATTGAAAAAAACTGTATGACATATTCGTTGCCTGAGCTTGCTCTTTTGTAAGCTAGTATTGGGATTATAGTAGAGGAGTAGCAGAAATAAAACATCTTCAGACACAAACATACAGATATAATAATATCCAACCACTTTGTATGATTTAGGGTCTCTGTTAAAAGGGTTACCATTTGCCTTTCCTAAACATTATATAAATTGCTATGTACTGAGTTGGCTGAGTTTAGACTTCTGATAAATTCTGTAATTTTTACTAAGCACACTGAGAACCTCTCCTTTTAAAGAGTACTAACAAGGGACCTTAATGTCCTCATAACAGAGCCAACTCCTTATTCTCAAAGCTATGGTTTGAAACTGGCTCAGGGCAGACTCAGAGCATGAGGCAGGAGACTTTAGGTTGGGAGAGCTGTGTCACAGTGTGTGGTTGCTATTGCCTCTCCTGATGCTCAGCAATAAACAACAGGTAGGAGAAACTGGAAGGAAAATGGATTTTAAAGGCAGAACAAACATGACTGGGTGTTCACATACCCTTTGAAAAATACACACACACACACACACACACACACAGACACACATACATATACACACATACAATATCATGACAGTATGCCCTGAAAGAGTGATTTAAATTACTGAAACCAGAGCAAAAATGTACAAGGAATAACAAAATAGCTAAATTAAATTAATCAAAGAGGTGATTTATTACCAGACCAGGTCAGCAGTTTAACTTCAACACAGAGCATAGTTTACTCACCTACCCTCACTTGAGACCACACTCACCAATGGATAGTTAGCATTTTAATTTAAATTTCTTCGGGTGCTAGGCACTGCTTCTATTTATACTTTCTCTGTGTTATATAATATATAATAGAAATATATTTATATAAATGTATATATAATATTATCTGTGAAAGAAATGAAAGAAACTAGTCATATCCCAAATTTTAAAAGATGGTGGGATAGGGAAATGTCAGTGCTTAGAAGGGAAAACTTCAAACCACTCCAATCCTTACGCAGGGACTGCTTGATGAGTCTTCTAAGGTCAGTGATAATGACAGATGGTTATCCATTCTTCACAACTTACTGGTATATAAGCAAATGTTGTTCCACAACGAATGTAACTGAACATGTAGAGTATGCATTTAGAAAAATAATCCAGATTTTAAGGCTATGATATAGACCATCATTTACTGACTACACAACCAAAAACTGGTCAGGAAAGATAATTAACAATAATTGTTACCTGTACTACGCCATTTCCAGCAGTTTGCCATTAACAAAGAAGGTAAGGAAAGAGCAATTACTATTGAGTAGTCAGAGCCAAAGTGTCCATCCTCCTTACTCAGGGCAAACTAGGCTGGGTGCTAACAGCCCTGTTGATGGCTGCCAGTCAGAACTTCCATGGGACTGATCATTTGCTGAACAACTGTGGGTGAGGACTTTAAGACCAGCTCAGATACAAAAGGGTGCAAGCGCTTTAATTAAAATGTTATTCTTCCAGAAAAAAAGAGAGACATTTTCTTTTCCTTTAATAGCAATGGCACAAAGTACCTCTATCTCTCTGCCTCACTCTGCTATAAAATGCATTAACATTAGTCTAAAAAAAAAAAAACCTCTGTAGCCCACAAGACTTAATTTATCTTTCCCAAACAGAAGGAAGCATAAATAACCTTTTAGAGAAATCACAAACATCAAGATGCAGTCTCTTCCAACTTAAAATCGTGTACACAGGTTGTATGTAAGCTTTGTGTATGCAACGGCTATGAACACACTTTGCAGATATAAACATAGTTCTCTATGTCTTATCTGGGATACCCTGCTTTGGTTGACAATGTCACCCCAGCCAGGGGCAAAAACCCCTCAAAATCAAACTGAAAAGGGAAAAACTCTGGGCAGAAAAGGTGAGTGAATATCTTACATCAAATACTTTATGTCAAATTAATTTAAAAGTCTTTGTAATCACAGTAGGAGAAAGAAAGCAGCTTAAAAAAGGTAAGAACACTTTCAAAATACCTGTTACGAACTGTTCCCTAGTCCAGCTAGCACATTTCACCAAAAGGGCAACTTCTTACTCCAGAAAGGAGGGTGTTCGGATAACCATATTATTCTGTTGATGGTGTGATGAAATATGGAAAGAAAGCGTACTCATTTTTATATTCCTAAATGCGTGTGAGTCGCATGCTGGCAGACGGATCACAGATGCAAGAAAGAAGACAGCACAAAGAAACATGAAAGAAAACTCAAACCATCTTAGGGACTATTAAAAACTACTAAAGTTGTCAACTCGTATACAATTTTCTATTAAAGAACGTCGAGCTTGGGTAGCTAAGCCAGAAACGTTGATAATAACTACAATTGACCCTTAATGGGAAACTGTTGGTGCCTTTTTAATAAGTTGTGGTGAGGAGAGTTCATATTACAGCATAACAGAATTCGCTTAGTGAATTAACGCAGTCTGTAGTTAGCATATCATATAGCAGTATTGTCCAGTTAAGGAAAGATACAGTTGAAAAACATTACATTTTAAGTCTCCATGAGTAAAGTGGTAAGTAACTGTAAAATCATCATTGGGAGAACATGGAAATAGTCAAGCATAATGAAATTACAGAAAGATAATTATCTCTAAATTTAGGAAGTACATGTACCTGCCTACCCACCTCTTCAAGCCTATGCTTACCACACGTGCAAAAATACAATACAATACAACTACTGCAATTATTACTATCATTTTCTTTTGCCCTTAGGTGAAAAACACCTGAAAGCTACATGCTGAGCCATGCTAACAAAACTAAACCTTTCACTTTCTTTAATAGTAAAATTACCATTACTGAATCATTGTCATAAAAAGTGCATTCAAGTACATTACCACTTATTTTAAATAAACACCAATTTTGAAACAATCAACTTTGAAAAGCTGCATAAGTTTTTTTTTTTTTTAATCCCTGATTACATTTCTATTTATTCACTGTGGTAGCCTGAAACATTGTATTCTTAGAGACTAACTACTGCTTAATTTCTTTTTTTAAAAAAAAAAAAAACAACAAACCTGTGTAATATAGAACAGCAGTGAAGCAAGAAAAATGTGTGCTTGTCACTTATCTTCACTGTACATAAGAACTGTGATAAAATATGGTACTTGTGCCACATTAGTATATGGGAAAACATAATTAACTCATAGCACAGAGCACATGGTTTACCAACGTATTACTGTTAAATTCAAGGTTTAGACTTCCACCTCAATTCTGTATTCAGGCTACCAGAGCATCCCCTTGGAGGTCCTTGGGAGGCTTTGGACACAATTAACATCATGTATTTTTCATCCAATAGTTAACGATGTGTGTAATTAACACTGACTATGGGACTGAGTTTGATGCCAGCTCCTGAGTTTTAAGTTTATCTCAGTCTACCATAGAAAATAACTTGTATGCCACAGTACCCAACAATTTCCACGCTGCTGCAGTTTCTCCATCAAGAGGATCAGACCCAAAACAGAAGATTCTTTGGGGGGCTTTTAAAATCGTATTAGGTTGATCAGTTTTGTTTATCCAATTATGCACAAGCACCTCAAACTTTCATCATTCCATTTGATGAGTGGTATGCACATTTCTTGAAAAGGTATCAACATCTGAATATTTTTGTAACCTTCTAAAAGAAGTCATACTTAATACAGTATTTAGGAAAAGAAAATCTCATCTTTTTTAAGATCAAAAAACCAAAACCTACTAGGAACATGTATTTTGCTAAACAGCTTACTTATGTTTATAGTTGCTACTTACAAAAGTGACACCAGAAAAGAACCTGTATTCTGAATACAGTGACCAGAGCAGAATGTCTATGGCCCTTGCCAATACACCCACACTAATCGTGTGCTTATTGAAAAGGACTTCCAAACATGTCAGGCTTCTGGTTTATGAATCAGCAGCTGGAGCTGTCTCTCTCTCTCACGTTTTCAATGCTGTCTTCTTTGTTTTCTGGTTTAATTTCGCCTTCATCCTCCTTGTGTTGAGTTGGATCTTTTTCAGCAACCTGGTCTTTGGTTTGGGGTTCATGTGTAGAAACAGGATCTAAAACTACAACTGGTTCGGCTTGTTTTTCATCATCAAAGTATTTTTTCCTGCATCCAATGCTACTGGGAGGCCTATGAGATGAAGAGTTAGACAAAAAAATAAAAATAAAAATAAAAGGCAGAGAGAGAAAATAGTTGTCTCTGGTATTCTGGATTCAGAACAACATAAAACCCAAAATGTTCTAAGTCTAATCAACATGCATATAGTCATCTTTGAGATGCCAGCCATTTAAAAGAAAACATGAAGCTATCGGATTACACAGCTCACATTAGGAGCACAAGGCCAGAAGGAAGAAGGCAGAGAAAGAGCGGTTAACTAACTACAGAAGTGTAAAAAAGCCAAACGCACCTACCTGCTTAATTGCATGCTCTTCTCAGGAAGCGTAAAGCTCATGGACAAACTGTGAACTTCTCATCATGGCCTGCTGCCCAGACTCCCGCCCACCCTCACTTAGCTGGAAGGAGCAGTTAACTCCCTTCCCTCCTGCGTGTTCCTGGGTACGGCTGGTTGCAGGGTATCCCTGAGGAGCCTGCATGGACGTGGGGAAGTAATTACCCCTGATCACTGATGGACAGGTGAGAGGCATGCCGGCTGCTGCCATTATCAACTAGAGGAGACCTGGCCAGACCTTGGGAGCGAGTGGCAGTAGGACCAAGGGCAGAGAGAGAGTCAGAGTGGAAGCTAAAATGCTAAGTTACTATTCATTTTTCTAAAAGGAGGATCAGGTTTCTTGAGAAATTTCTGACGGAATTTCAGAGGCAGTTTTCCACAGAGTCCTCCTCTCATCAATTCTGATGCTAGGAGGTATGGCTCCTCACGCTGAATGGGTGAGGATTTCCTTATAGAAACAGATATCTCTGAAGCACCTGAAGTTTCAGGCTGCTGAGCTGCTGCCTGAAGGTCGAGGCAGCTGCAGTGGGCAGGGCTGGGGCTTTCGGACTTTTCTGGTCTTTTTGGAAAATGCTAGGATGAGGCCTTTTTGTCCCAGAGAACTGGCTATTAACCATGGCCCAGCACATCACCACCCCACCTCTTGGTGTTCTGCCAGGTGGCAGCCAGGGAGCTACCAGCCAGGGCCTGCCCACTGCTCTACCAGCCCCTCACCAGGAGTTGGTTTCTGCTATTCTCTGACCCCTTGAGCAGGTCAGAGCTGGCAGGAGACACTCTTTTATCACCTAATACCTCTCTCTTGTTGGTCTTGCCACAATTGTTTCCTATCTGTCTCTTCCAATAGCATGTAAACATCCATGAGGCAGGGACTCTTAAGCTTTATTCACAATGCTATCCCCAGCACCTAGCACAGACGCATTTGTGGAGTAAACAAATGGGAAAATACTTATAAACAGAAAGGTTCAGAATGAAGCGGGAGAGATCAAGGTTAATAGGTCTGGATGTCTCAGTTGCCAACAAAAACAACAGAACAATGATCAACTATTGAGAGAAAGCAACCTGCATGACCCAGTCACAAAACCCTCAAACCCAAAGACCACTGTTTTTTCACTTTCTGACCAGCGCTACGAGATCTGTCCAAATGTTTAAAAACCACTCCCTCCAGCTATTGGGTTATATTACCTATATGTGGCTTGGTCATCATCCTAAGTGACAAACACTCTGTTTTCCTTGGAGGTGGTAAAAACAAATATAACCAGGGGCCTGATGACAGGCTGTGCTATGGAGAGGACAGATTCCTTTAGTTCTGCCTGGTTATGGCACATGACATTGTCCAACTACCTTGGCCAAGGAACTACTTCTCCAGACATCTGCCGCTGTGCTTTGGGGATCAGAATGGGGTGTAGTTTCTCTAGTGGTACCTTTTTTGACTTTCTCTGACCCACATGATATTTAAAAGCCTGTGATCAGAGAAGCAAAACAACTGGAAGTAAAATTAAGGACTAATCAGAGGAATTAGACCTTAGGCAATGGAAGGCAGTAGTCATGCTATCTATGGAAATCCGCTGCCTTCTCGTCTGATGCTGGGCCTGCAGTCAGCTGTTCTGACAGCTGGGAGGGAAGATCGCTGTAAAGTGGCAGACACTAAGGACAAACCAGAGCTCTACCTATCTCTCAGAAGCACCACTCTTAATGATGCAAGACAATCTGCAGGATAAGCAGGAGCCTTCCCCAAGGAGCTGCACATGCACCTGGCCCAGAGTTTGGAGAAGCTGAAGAAAGAGATGTGGGGAGGTGGAGAAACTGTGGATCAGTCACTGCCACATGCCAGTTAGGTGAGTCAGCACATCAGGAATGTCATGCACAAGCTATAACAGAGTGTGCCCTGCACAGACCTTCTGAGGGTTAAAAACATTTTTTTAGACAACTACTTCACTTCCGCCTTCTAAATCTCATGCAAATTTCTCTGTGGCCAACCCTACACTGGAAACAAATGGGTGAGGTGATTCTAGGAAATGAAGCTGCAGCCCAGCTAAGGTTCCGGGGAAAGTCCCATCCAAGTCTGGAGGTCAAGTCACCAGTATGGCTTCACCATCTTGGGTCTGGGCCCACCTTATATAAGCCAGCCAATCTGCTCTAAGCATGCAAAGGAAATATTTCTGTCATTCTAGGTGAGCAACTTCCATCAACCCATACTAACCTTCATCACTTCTGTAGAACTACCATGGATGTTTCCACGCCCATGTGTGTCTGCAGGTATGTGTCTACAGGTGAAGGGGTGGTGCACAGGTCCTAGAAAAAGCTTTCTTCGTCAGCTCAGGGCTAAAAATTTCCAGGAAGTGCTCTCTGGGCTCCACAGCAGCAATAAATGGATGTTGATTGAACTGAAAACTCATAAACCTTGTACTGTCAGGCTGAAATTGTCCTGGAATTGTCTCAGTCCAAAGAATGATTCCCCTGTCCTGAAGCAAGCTTCTTGACTGCAGATTAATCTATTATTAAGTCACAGATGGGGTACAATTTGAGAACCCCTTTATCATCACTGAACTAGGTGCTGTGGGCATTTTCTGAATCTATGTATGGAGGGAGAGTGATTTGTTTCTCAAGGACAATGACCACTGCCTTAGAATCCCAATGGAAGGTGGAAAGAGACTAGGACAATCATCTAGTCTGACCTGTCCTCTTACAGATGAGGACAATGGGGCATGAAGAGGGGAAGGAACTGGCCTAAAACCACATAGCTCATCAGTGGCAGAGTCAGAACAAAAGTCAGAAGCTACTGTCTCCCTGTTCCTGCCTTCTCCATGACAGCATGCTGTTTCTCAAAGTATCTTCTCCTAGAAACATTATACCACAGGCTAGTTTTGGCATGTTTACTGATTTAATTCTTTCTGAATCCCTGTTTCCATCTCCATCCTCCAGATCTGTAAATATAAACTCTATCCCTTCAAGCTATCCCTTGTGTATTTGTTATTTTTCCTCTGCAGTTTGTAGCTCCTCCTGGTTTGACATCACAAGGTCTACTCCTGGCTCCCATGAGCAGCTGCCCAAGGCTCCTTCTGGAATAAGAGGCCTTTCTTTCTCCTAGGCCTCATTCTATCTTCGTTCCTATGGTATGGGAAGGGCCACAGAGCTGCATCAGTGATGATGTCAAGAACCCACGTTCTCACTCTAGTAGCCATGGTGGCAGGTTCTACAGGGTTAAATATGAAGCTTCTCCTCAAGGGAGAAATCCCAGAAGCTCAAATGCAACACTTCAATAAGAATTGTAATATACTGTCATTCTGTTCAATTTTTCTACTTTAATACAACATCTAAGGACAAAGACCACAATAAGTAATTAAAAGTCTATACTTATAAAAAGTAATGGCAGCCTGTCTCCCGCATGCTGCGAAATCTGCAAGTAAAACTTAAATTTTAAACGTATCACTTATAAAGTAAAACTAAAATCATGGGATGCTTGGGCTGACCGGGATCACCATCGTGAGCTAGTCTAACCTCTTCATTTGTCAGATGAAGCGTCCAAGGAAGAGTGAGGTTAAATCAGCATATGACTTGTTAACAACAGATACAGAACTAAACTAGTGGAATTTTGATTTCCTGTCCAATATTTTTTTTCTAACCACAACATCCTGGTAGTCATTTACGAGCCATTCAAATAGATATTTTTCACAGGTCATATTATACTACGTGCTCAAACGCTATTTCAAGACAAAAAACAAAAACCAAAAAGCAAAATAAAAGCTAAGAGAAATATACCAATCGATGCCATTCTATGAAGCCTGATGCCCAAGTACAACTTGGGTGACCTTTTAGAAAGCAGCTACTGTGCCCCTACTGCAAGAGAATACAAGTGTGGGGCCTGAGCAGGTGAGGCAACTTATTAGTAAAAGGAAAGACTGACTCCAAACCGTACTACTAGCAGAAGAATCAGAACAATTGCAATGGCCATGCCAAAGCCGAACTTTATACAGGGACTCAGTGATTTCTCAGACTGTGTTACAAGAGATGAAAGTGCAGCATTCTAATTTTAAAAAGCACATCATTGTTTGCATTCAATGAAATTCCTTTCAAAATCAACTTTCCACGTTCCAATTATATTCAACAACATTCTAGCTAACATTTCGGCTGCAATTCAAATTAACTAATGCCCAAAAGAGCCCTAATCCAAGTGGTTCCGAACTCAATTGAATACAATCAAAGCTCACGCAATGAAGGGGGAAATGCTTATTTCATGCAAATTCTGCATATCACTCAAGCTTAATTTTACTGATAATATAAAGGTGGGACATTTTGAACATTACAGTGAATGAACTTTTAAGCGGTGAGAGTTATTTTATAAAATGCTACCTCTGAAAAGCTGATTGCCAAACAGTATAAAAATGGTTTGAGGCATAAATGCCAAGTTCATTTCTATTTCACTTCTGAGGTAACTATCTTTCAAATCACAACAGCTGGACTATTTAACACAATCTGGTGAATCAAAGTATAGTTCTTCTCTGGTCTCCCAGTGGGATGTCTGCATTAGTCTGTGGCAGCCATCCAACAAATGACGCACAGCCGGACGGTTTGAACTCTGTTTCATTTACAATAAAAATGGATAAAACCGCAATCATATTTACCACCTTCAAGGAGAGAAAACGGAAAGATTTAAATTTGTCTTTATAAAGTCGTTTCCTGG